GGTGGGGGGGGCAGCAGAGGGAGCCTGGGAAATCAATAGCAATTAAGGTTGCAGAGAGGATGCCCAGAACTGAAATGGTAGCATATGTTTACACTAAATCAAGCAATCCATCTTCATCCCGGTGTAGTAACAAAGCACATGCCAATCTGGGCTTGGGTGGGGTGGGGGGAACAGAGTGGGAGGAGGAGGAGGAGGAGGAGGAGGAAGAAGAAGTTCACGGAAGCTGCCCCTATATCTGTTGGGGGGGATCCAGGCAAAGGGGGCAGGGGTCCCTGACGCACTGAGCTTGCTATTGATTCTTACTTATTTACTGTTATCCTGCCTTATTATCTTTGTAAATAGCTCAGGGTGGCAAATATATCTAATACTCCTTCCCCTTCCTCCTAATTTCCTCACAACAACAACCACCCTGCACACTGGGCTGGGCTGAGAAAGCAAGAAAGTCACCCAGCCAGCTTTCATGCCTAAGGCAGGACTAGAACTCACTGTCTCCTGGTGATTGGCCGAAGTCACCCAGCCGGCTTTCATGCCTAAGGCGGGACTAGAACTCACCATCTCCTGGTGATCGGCCCAAAGTCACCCAGTTGGCTTTCATGCCTAAGGTGGGACTAGAACTCGCCGTCTCCTGGTGATCGGCCCAAACTCACCCAGCCGGCTTTCATGCCTAAGGCAGGACTAGAACTCACCACCTCCTGGTGATCAGCCCAAAGTCACCCAGTTGGCTTTCATGCCTAAGGCGGAACTAGAACTCACTGTCTCCTGTTGATCGGCCCAAAGTCATCCAGTCGGCTTCCATGCCTAAGGTGGGACTAGAACTCACCACCTCCTAGTGATCGGCCCAAAGTCACGCAGCTGGCTTTCATGCCTAAGGCGGAACTAGAACTCACCGTCTCCTGTTGATCGGCCCAAAGTCATCCTGTCAGCTTCCATGCCTAAGGCGGGACTAGAACTCACCACCTCCTGGTGATTGGCCCAAAGTCACCCAGCCGGCTTTCATGCCTAAGGCGGGACTAGAACTCGTCGTCTCCTGGGGATCGGCCCAAAGTCACCCAGCTGGCTTTCATGCCTAAGGCAAAACTAGAACTCACCGTCTCCCAGCTTCTACCCTGGTGCCTTCAACCCAAAACCAAACAGGCTCTGGCGATAGACTAGCCTTGAGGTCTACACCCCAAGTTCACAGACGGTCGTAAGCCGAGGACTCCCTGTCGTTTGTTCTTTGCATGCTGCCAGTCTGATGGCTTCTTTCTTTCCCTCCGTAGCCCTGAACGAGCCGACGATCGATTATGGCTTCCAGCGCCTACAGAAGGTGATTCCGCGGCACCCCGGAGACCCCGAACGTTTGCCAAAGGTAGGACCCCCGTTCTCTCCCCTTAAGCCTCTTCCCATTGTGTCGTTGCGTCGAACACAGCTGCACTGGGAGAAGCTCACTGTCTTTTTGAATTTTCTGATGAGGATAAGGGACAAAAAAAAAAACCAACCAGAAGAAATATTTAGTAAACCTGCTTTTGTTCTTTATCTGCTGGTTTATCTGCTGTCATTTGCCGGGAGTTGTGTCTTGTTGTCGTCGTCGTGATATATAGGGTCTGCTGCTTGAGGAGAGGGCTGGACTAGAAGACCTCCAAGGTCCCTTCCAGCTCCATTCCGATTCATATCGATTCGTTTCTTGCGGACGCATTTAGAAGTCCTGTATTTTTTATTTTTTATTTTGTTTTACTTCATGGGTGTGTTTTGCTTTAAAAAGGGAAGATGGCGGTTGCCAAAGTGGGGTCAAAGTGACCGCAAGATGTGACTAAAGATAAAAAAAATAAATGCTGGCAGTCCTCAACTTACGACCACAACGGAGCCCAACTTTCCTGTTGCTAAGTGAGACGTAACGGCCGTAAATCATAAGAACAAGACCAAAATGTAAAGGGAAAAGAACGCCCTCCCCACCCCCAACACCCCACATTGCAGGTAGTCCTTGACTTAACAAGCATTCGTTTAGTGGCCACTCAAATTAACGACGGTCCTGGGAAAAGTGAGTCATGACCGTTTTCACACTTACCGACTCTTTGCAGCCTCCCCAGGGGGGGGCTGAACTGAACAACTGCAGTGAGTCACTTAACAACTAATAATAATAATAATAAAGTTGGAAGGGATCTTGGAGGTCATCTAGTCCAACCCCCTGCTCAGACAGGAAACCCTAGACCATCTCAGACAAAGGGCTGTCCAGTCTCTTCTTAAAGACTTCCAGTGTTGGAGCATTCCCAGCTTCTGGAGGCACGTTGTTAATAATAATAATAAAGTTGGAAGGGACCTTGGAGGTCATCTAGTCCAACCCCCTGCTCAGGCAGGAAACCCTATACCCTTTCAGACAAATGGCTGTCCAGTCTCTTCTTAAAAACCTCCAGTGTTGGAGCATTCCCAGCTTCTGGAGGCAGGTTGTTAATAATAATAATAAAGTTGGAAGGGACCTTGGAGGTCATCTAGTCCAACCCCCTGCTCAGGCAGGAAACCCTATACCCTTTCAGACAAATGGCTGTCCAGTCTCTTCTTAAAAACCTCCAGTGTTGGAGCATTCCCAGCTTCTGGAGGCAGGTTGTTAATAATAATAATAATAAAGTTGGAAGGGACCTTGGAGGTCATCTAGTCCAACCCCCTGCTCAGGCAGGAAACCCTATACCCTTTCAGACAAATCGCTGTCCAGTCTCTTCTTAAAAACCTCCAGTGTTGGAGCATTCACTGCAGCAAGAAAGATCGCAAGATCGGGACAAAACTCAATCTAACAACTGTCTCGTTTAGCAA